ATCATCATCATCATCATCATCATCATCACCATCATCATCATCATCATCATCCACCCCCTCCCACAATTATCTTCACCATCATTGTATTCATTATCATCTCCCTCTCTCTCATGGTCATCATCACAACCATCCTTATCATCGCTATCATCATGACCATAATCATCCCCATGCATAGCGTCACAGTCATCATATCATCACCACCATAACTATAATTATCATTCTTCACAATCACCATCCTCACAATCATCATCGTCGTCTTCGTCGTCGTCGTTGTGGACCCCATCGTTGTCATTATCATCATCATTATCAAAAACTTCTTTATCATCATCGTTGTCATTATCATCATCTTAAACCTCTGCTTTATTATCATCATAATTGTTAACGTCATTTAAAGGCATATGCAAGCGTTATAGAGGCATTGTCTGAGTATGAAACATGAATCGCTAATATTAGTAGTAACTGGAAATATTTCAATCTGGAATTACATTGGAACACAATGTCTCGTTCATCGCATCATAGAAAACATACAGGTATAACGTGCAACAAGAAATCCCGTCTGTATTTCTTCCCATGTACGCGAAGAGAGTCGCTTGAAAAATTCCCAGGTCTCTCTTTAAGAGATGCAATAGCCCGTGAAAACAATGCTGATAGTAGCGCTACACAACCGCCTACTTTCATTAATCGTGTTATTTTACTACATTCATTTTCTGTGAAAGATACAGTATTCCCAGGGGCGCCGAGAGCGGACCTGTTCCAATGACGGCGTTTACACTATCCTGCAAAGCCCACTGCAAGGCCCAGGGGCAGAGCCCTGGTGGGCAAAACCTATTTTGTTATGATTACAGACATGCTCTTTTTTTTTTTTTTTTTTTTTTTTTTTGGAGAGGGGAGGGGGATTTTGTTACTCATTCTTCACATATTAAAAGAACACTGAGGCTGAAATCGCTCAAAAATTAGGAACAAAATAAAATAAATAAAACAAGGTTTTTATCTTTTTTTTTCTTTTTTTTAAAAATAGAAAACCAACAAATCTATCTGTACCTTGGTGTTACATGAGTACCCTCTATAATACACTATAATACAGTTAAATAATAATTATACTGACTGTAAAATAATAATTTTCTACGTTTGGAAAGTGTTCAAAAATACAAACAAAATAAGAACATTTTGAGCCTGAAATCGGCCAAAAAATAAGAACACTGAATCTGGGCAAAATTTTACTGGTTCTTATAAAAACAAAAAAAGAAAGTGTAATAATAGAAAAAGATTTTATGAAAAATGCAATTTTGCCCTGAGCCCCCCAACCCCCCAAAAGCCCCGGAGCGCTAGTCCACACCCCACGCTTTCAGTGCTAATGTATTATTCCTATCTAAAGAAAATGTTCGCAAAATTTGTCCAGGTCTTTGTAAGAGGTGAATGCACTACTACCTACCTTGGTACTAACAGTCGGGCTACACATCCGCTAGTACTACCGGTTTATTTCTATTTTATATAGAGGATGACTCTACTGCATCATAAATCAAATATGAAATTTAAAATTAAAAATCAAAACATTAGTTAATGGACCTTTCCATAGTGTTAAATTTAACAAATGACAATTCAGAAAAAAAACCAGAAATACGCACATGTCCCATAAACACCTGTTGTCAAACGACGTGTTTACATATTACATGAAAAAAAAAATCGTCCATTCTGTTTGTCCTGAATATATAATTTTCATTTCTATCCACAACCCTTTAAAACCATCTATTTTAATTATCAACTTTTTGTAAGAGTCATGGTACCACTTTAGACATATATTACATCATTCTAAAATTGTTTTTGTTGCTTTTGCTTGATTTACAAGCTTACGATTTTTATTGGCCTATTTGTTTAAATCCTTATTGTGTTAAAGTTTTGTTGTACTGTTCATCAGCATTAAGTTAAAAAATTATTTCAAAATTGTGTTTGTGTATAGTTTTAAGCTTGCCTTTTGTTTGTAAAACTGTTACTTTGGATACACCACTATTGTGTGTGCCACTTAAGGTGTTATTCCTAATAAATTGATCGATTGATTGATTGTGTTCATGAGGTTAAAAGGCAAACAAGTGGTGTATCTGTTTCTATATAGACAAGTGTTTATATATCACGAGTGTAAGAAAAACATTCTGTGGCGTAATTGGCAATATTTATTTTATATTAAGTATTTATAGTCTATTGAAGAACTGTAGGCCAAAGTGTAACTGTAATACAAACATGTTGTTATTGTAAACGTTGATGCTACGAATTCGCTGGGTATGCTTTAACGTCCTGTAACTCACTGTACCGCAACTCAAACAATGTTTGAGTTGCGGCGGAAAAAAATGTTGATGAGTCGCATAATCTCTTCAGATCGTGAAAACTTTACTTAATACAAACGACAACGATATTAAACTACAGTAAACAAGAATGCAATTAAAAGCGTGCCATGTACGTCAGTTTACTTTTCTAAATTTAAAATTGAATTACTTGACAATATAGAATTGTATAATGAATTTATTAATGCAAACGATGACCTAAAACTACATCATATCTTGGGTTGTTCATCGTTGCTCCTTAGCGGGAAAGTATGAAAATATCTTCGACAAGTTTTGCAAAAGATATACCAAAAGAGCATGGAAATTCCGCAACGAGATTTTGAATTCCATGCTCTAACAATCTCTAACTTTGCTTTATAGTACTGCTATTCAGTTCACTTCTGTTTTCAATTTCATTTAGTTGTTTTTCTTTCCTGCATTACTATTTTTGATGTATGTTGCTTAGGTTTTTAAGGGGAAGGGGAAAAAGAGCATAGTTTTAGAATTTTTATTTTTAAGTTGTTTTTACTTTGTATTATATATTATATTTACTTTTAATTGAATAAGGGTCACTCAGGGGATTGACATGACTATTGAGGCATCATTGCATAATACTTTGACGAGGGTGGATATTGGATAGGGGTGGGGTGCCTGTCAAATGCTTGAGTGACGGTTACTCTATTTATACAGTACTTTGTTTTCTTTAGTGTATTGTATTCTGTTTGAAGTATTATTTTTTTGGACGCACCTTTATCATGTGAAGTGTGCCACTGTTTCGAAAGTGTAGTTTCCAAATAAATTATTATTAATACGTAGTTTTGTATGCCAACTTAAAAGTTTTAGTTTTGTTCATTTCAATGTGTTTGGCTTTCAACTGAAAATATTTACGAGAATGCATTTTTCAATTTAATGTGTCTGTGTCTTCGCATAACACATAAACCACTGTTCCGCACCCCGTGTGGGTCGCGACCCAATGTTCGAATTGAAAAAGTTTGATGGTTCGCATTATCTTTTCAGATCGAGGAAACTTTACTGATGAAAACAAACGAAACAAAGACAAACGAAATAAAATTTATTTTGTGGGTGATGGTATCTTTAATCGATTACCAAAAGAATCAAGTTGGTGGTTCTTCTGATATCCGCTTTCCCTCGCGCGTTTAACGACGTACGGGATTTATTCACTTAATTCACTCAAACTAATAATAATAATAATAATAATAATAATAATAATAATAATAATAATAATAATAATAACAATAATAATAATAATAATAATACCTTATTTAATATAATTTTACCATGAAATTCAGGTGAGAAATTTGCCTACTAGTTCGATAGGTCGCTTATGAGTGATTGACATACATTTGGGTCGTGGGATAAAAGGGTTGCAGAACGGGACAGTAACTGTACCCAAGAGGCCATTCTACGCCTTAGCATTATCAAATGGAACCACTGACCTGGGTTAATGGTTCCACTAACAATGTTATTGCGTATTTACTTCCCTTTGTGTAGTAAGAAAACAAATATAACAGCAATTTAACTACGATATAAAGAAGTGTATCTACTTTCACTTTCTCCTTTTGAACTTGAATAGGGGCCTACGATTTAATCAAGCTTGCTCGAAACATACAGTATGGCCCTCCTATAATTGTTGGTCAATGAAAACTGTTGGTATCAAAGATCACTATATTCCCAAACAATAAACAGTCCGAATGCCAGAATTTGACACACACACCTTCTCTGGACTGCGGTCGATCGACTTGAGTCAGCTCGGCCTAGCCAAATGAGTCCGAACGCGTTTCGTTCGAGTTGGCTGTCTGTTGCGGCCGGAAAATATACAAATAACATTCTAAAATCTGCATCTTACTTCTCGGATTAGCACCAAAATCGCAGAGGACTGAATTACATGTAATATTGTCAATGCGAAAATTTAAAGTAAGTTGGTCAAGTAGTTTTTGAGTTATATGCCCGGAAGGACACACACACACACAGACAAGCACACACACAAACGCGCGCTTGCAATAATAGCATCAGGAACACCCATTAGTCCGGAGTACAGTCCATTTCCAATGTGGTCCACCACTTGCAGTTTCATATCAATGAGCCTTACTTCCTGTATTCCTGTTGAAAAAGAGCCTCTCTTCCCCAAATCGCAGTCACTTCTTTCGTGCCTTCAGTTTTCTTTCACGCTTCCCTGCAGTGAGTTTTTCTTTCATGTCTCCCTCGTTTTAGATAATCTGTACTTCCCTGTGCTGATTAGTACCTAGCACTTGAATCACCACAATGCCTTTGTGGTCAAGTGGTTAGGACGTTCGCCATGTATGGGAAAGTTCCCAGGTTCGAGTCCCGCTGGAGCCCGACTTTGTTTCTTTCTTTGTCAGATTCCTCTTCTATTACGTTTCAATATCAATATATATCAATATATATATATATATATATAAATATACAAATAAATATACAGACAATATATAAAAAATTTAAATAATTATATAAATTAATATATAAACATATAAATATATATAAATACATATACAAATAAATATATAAATAAATATACAAAAAAATATACAAACAAATATATAAATAAATATATAAATATTCAGCAGGACAAACACAAGAAAACATATATCTTAACCTCCATGAGGAGTAATTTAAAACGATTGTTAAAAAAGAAACAAAAGGATATATATTTTTCATTCCGCATTACTTTATTTGTTAACATGGACGATGGTTAGCCCTACTATTTATCCAGGGAATGTAGTTTTACAAAGGTAAAATGTAAGGCGACTTTTACACATCAAATTACTCTTGTTCTAACGACTCCAACCATTAGTTTTAGCATGTCTTCTACTGTACAAGTCAAGAATAAAGAGTAACCTCTTTTAAAATCTATCTAAACTTGTACATAATTTTTCGAGAATTAGTACTTAACAATGCGATGAGACACACAGGTAGGTCGGTATGCAAAAATTATTATTATTATTATATGCGGAAGACAGTTCAATCTAAGGTTATTTGCAAATAAAATTATATTTTCCTACAAATAATTACCAAAATATAATTATAAAACTGGTTATAACATAATATCTAATTTAAGGATTACAATCATTATCAAAATAAAAAACACAACCGGTGTTACACTGGTACCTGTACTACATCTGTACGTGTGATTACATACTACCTGCATGTATGATGGTACATGGTGAGATGGTATGTAGTCACACTGTACTACTTATAATAATATATAAACATTTCTATAACGCCAATTTCAAAGTAATTTATCAAAGGCGGAGTAAGGCTATCAATAATAATAATAATAATAATAATAATAATGATAATAATAATAATGATAATAATAATAATAATAATAATAATAATAATAATAAAATTTATACCGCATTAATAACGTACTAACGAAATGGTATGCATTAACATGGAACTATCAGATGGTAAATATTCTTATAACAATAGGCCTATATAAATAAATAATAATAAACAAATAATAGCAATTATAACACCAACGCGAGCTGGTATTATAGACCTGCTGTAGTCTGCAAGGCACGTACATGCGCTGATCAGTAAAATATCTAGCGGCGCGCATGCTCTCTCCCCACTCTTAGTGAGGTGAGAAAATGTCTGAAGCGAACAAAAATACTCTTACTACTTAAAAATCACATATCCTTTTTCACTACCTATCGCCCGCCACCCCCAACATTAAATCATTGCCCTCCCCCCCCATTAAATCATTACCGCACCTCCTAGATACGCCACTGCCGCTGATGCAAACGTGTATATGATGACAAAAATATTAGTAAAAATAATAATGAAATAATAGTATTATTGTAATAAAAAATAATTAATAATTCTATTAATAATAATTACTATTGTAATTTGAATGTAACTCAGCATTGCACATATCATATAACTCTTCAAATAAATAATTTCTTTCATATTCAAAATATCTGAATCATATGTATAACATAACCACGGCACAGCATTTGCTTATGGTGGCATGCATTTATTAATTTGTTGGTAATTATTACTATGTCAAATATATGGTGGTAGATGATTCTGGGTTTCACTAAAAAAAATAGTACATCGTTTATCAATAACACACACTGTTAATTCTAACCGTTTCTTAATTATATTTCAAATTCCTAGATAGATCTTGGTTTAGTTTTAAAACAATGTGGATAAAATGGTTGAAAATTGTGTAATATATAATCACATTCACATGATATGCATTCACATAAGATGAATGATGGGTACACTTTCATCGTAACTACACATTCACAAGGCGTGCATTCACACGTTACTCATCACATCAGATGGTATACATTTGCACAGCATTCAGTGCATTGTAAGTATTATAACAAGGTATGCATTCACACGACACTCATTCACATGACATGCGTTTAAACAGCATTCATTGTATGGTATGTATTCACATGGTATGCATTCATTTAGTATGCATTCACATGTCATGCATTCATTTGGTATGCATTCACACAGTATGCAATCACAAGGTATGCATCACATGGTATGCATTCACACGGTACGCACTACACATTCATATGGTATTATCACATGGTATGCTTTCACATGGTATACGCATTCACATGATATACGCATTCACATGGTATGCATTCAAATAGTATGCATCACAAGGGATGCATTCATATGGTATGTACTATATAATACACATTCATATAGTGTGCATCAAATAGTACGCTGTCACAAGGTATGCACTATATACACAATCACACAGTATTCTTTCAACTGATTTGCATCCACATGCATCAGGTGGTACCCTTTCACACAGCATGCATTACATGTATCAACATTTTAAAGCTGCATTAACATGGTACATATTTTATCTATCCATACGGCAATCCATTCATGGTCAGTGGCTTAAAGCCTAGTCCTTGAACCAAGGGGTGAGGAAATGTTGTAGGCCATGCATTCCAGTAAATTATTTTACAGGAGGTATATTTCAGACCCATCCCTACCACAGAACTTTGAATATTAAGGCTGAAAAAAACTGGTTATAGCCAACCCTTGCTACCATAGAACATTTGAATATTAAATCTGAAAACACTGAATTATTATAGGCATCCCTCACCACCTTAGAACATTTATGAATATTAAGGCTAAATAGGCTACTGTATATCTATATCGTTAAAAATAATTTTGTTAATAATATTTCTGTGCATATTTAAATTTTTTTTTTGTTTTTGTTTTATTTTCAATTAAAAGGATTTATATGGCGCACATATCAAGAATACTAGCCTAGGCGCTTTTTCTCTGGGTCATTGGATACAAAATCAATCATACACAACGTACAACCTCCTCAGCTCCCTGGGAAATATTCCTAGTTACGTGTGTAATCAGCACTACTAATTTCATTACGAATCATTCACCTCCTAACATAACAGGTAAACATCTTTACTCAATAGTGTGACGAGCGTGTGACGAGCATCTGTCTTGAACCCCCGCCTATCTGACTTAAAGACCAACGCCTTACATGCTGCTCCACATGTTTCGTAAATTATGTTGCATCAATTACTTTTTAAAAAGTTAAAAGACTTAATCATTTTGTTGCGATGATTGAGGCCCCATTGGAACACTGCTAATATAAATACGGTATAATAAATCAATTTCGTTGTCAGTTTTTATATTTATAAGGAAACATTAAAAATAATGGACCAACTCTAAAAAGTTATTAGTTATAGAGAGACATACAACAGTATTGCACGCCTACTGTAATGTTGTCATGTGTCCCTACGTATTAAGGCAAATAACATTCGACTGTGCTAAAAAGTGTAAGTTAAAACCAGGATTTGTTTTTTATTCACTTAGTTTAGAGCACCAGCGAGCAAAATGCAGCTTGCACCGGTGATTAAAGTTCCTGCCGCAAAAAAAAAAACAAAAAAAAACTTTAAAACCCTATGTGTGCGGTCCGCCAACCATCTCTAGCTAGAAATACATTTTTATGGCCTGCCAAAACCATATCTCAAAGAGAATATAATGCAGCATAAAAGCTGTACATGGAAGGTTTTTGCAAACACGCTGGAAACATCGAAGTTTGAGTGCGGCCGTCATTGTTAAATCACAAATTCACATATGCCCTCCGACTCGTTTTTATGCCCACAGGTGGTTTAGAGTGTTTCATAAAATTTGAATTTGGTTAATTGAGTGCTTGGCATCCAGCAGACTTATGACCAGGATTCCATGAGAGCTTGTAACCACTGTTCATGGTATGCACTTACAAACTTTTATTTATTTAACAAAGGGCGAGGAAGAGTTGGGGGTACATGTACTTTAGTAATTGATTTACGAGAGTAACAAAAGTGGCCGTAAATAATAGCGTAGCCTGTTGTATTACTATAAATTGATTCGTATCCAATCTCTGTGAATTCTATCTAGCAACCATTTCTTCATTATTTCAGACTATTTAAATTTCAGAATGTAAGGGAGCCTAGCTGTGAGTAAACAACTTTGCATTGGGAATTGATATTTTATTAAAAAAAAAAATGTTTTAATTTCTGGATGTCTGCTCCTGGACTTTAATTCCAACACTCTGTTGGAAGAGTGCTGTGTATTCAGGAAGCCCAGGGCCCAGTTCCTGAGAACCACTGTACGAATGAAATGACGTATTTATACTGCATTAACGAAATGCTATGCATTCAAATTGGCAATCTATAATATTGGTTCACTCAGTAACTAGCAATTTGAGATGTATGCTGAAAGCTATACACTATACTAATTGAGATGAAAAATATGCATTCACACTATACTAATGAGATAATATGCACTCACATTGTACTAATGAGGTGAAATGCATTCACACTGTACTAATGAGATGATATGCATTCACACTTATGTGTTCAAATCAAAAGTATGCATCCATATGGTACTATTCAGATGATTTGCGTTCACATGGTATTAATGAGATACATTCAGATGGAAATCCATACAGGATGTATTTATGATGGTACATATTTTGAGTTTTGCATTCACATGCATTTACACTTTATGCAGTAACATGGTCTGTATTCAAACAGTATGCATTTACATAAGAGTCCATTCACACAATGCATGAATTAAAATGATATGATACGTTTACATGGTATGATGCACTATTGTATGCATTCAGATGGTATGCATTCACATGTTATGCATTTAGTAATTGTAAACAGTATCCAGTATTCATTAACACATCTCATTCAATAAAACATCATTCATTTTGTTCTCACAACTTTTCATAATTTTCCAATTCATATCAAATTCTTTATAGCTCCCTTCTATTCACTGATTACCACCACCACCTATAAAATATATAAAACTTTACACTTAAAGGAACTATAATAAAATTCAAACATCCCTTAATTGCTTATTCTATGTTTTCTCTGGTTTTGATCATTTGATCTAAATCATACAACACCTCTAGGATACAACTCATAGACCATGCTTGAGTGGGGCAGCTGTCTTTACAGTAAGCTCCATCCTCATTAGTCAGTTCAGCAAGACCTCTCCAAGGCGATGCTTCCAGAGCTTGGTGGTGTTGTATTAGGGTTTGCTGGACCGTGCTGATGACCTCAGCTTGACCTGACGGCGGTAATACAAGTTTACTAAAATGAAGCTTTGCACGCAGGAAATACCCTGTTGGCCATATCCACTCCTGTAATAAAATCAACGTAATGATTTATTCATGTATGCGGGCATTAGCAGTTGAGTCAGGGATACAACCTACAGCCATGATAATGACGCTGGTTTGAATGGCACACTCGCCTATGGTTCTGGGGGTTAAACAAGTCTTCATGGGTAAGTACTACAAAACGTAGGCCCACCGTACACAACTGGCTCATGTGCACTTTAAAGGAACCAGTACATCTTTTGAGACGAAAAGGGCGTTAGCCCAGTGTTCTGGTCCATAAAGCACCCACTGCCAGCGGTCATGAATCCGATGAAATGTCCAGAAATTTGCTACAAAGATGTGAAGCAATAACGACAAAATGATTATTATTGTTTATTTTCGGTAAATATTTCAGTTACTCCTCCAAATTTCTTGCCTATTTTTTTCTTGTTCCTTTATTATCTATATTTTGCACTATTATTTTTCATAACAGATTAATTACACATACATTCAAATTACACCTTTTATTATGTTTTAAGGTTAGACTCTACAGCATGTATACATTGTGCATGAATTTAACATTTACTATCTTTGTCAATTTAATGTAGTAGGTATGTCCTCGTCCTGAATTTTTAACATCACTATTGAATTGGCTTATCTACGAATAGATACCTTGTTACCATGGTAGTTGATACGTGATATGCCCATATTTGGGTGTAATATGACATCATCATACTCAATATGGGTACATCACACACGTTAGTGTGGACAGAGTTTAACGTTTGCAGGATGTGAAAAAAAAATGTTTCGATGCTGCAAAGAAAATTATTTATATGCCTGAATGTTATGTAGGCTTTGCGGAAAACTGAAAGCTAAAGATAACATTCTCTGGTGATCTGAGGGTGCTTCTAAGAATGTAAGTGTTTGAAAGTTGATGAAGATAAGGAGGTTGCTTTAAAAGAGAAGTGCTTTTAAAAGTGAGGAAAAAGAATCTTGTGTCCTATTGCTTACCATTATTTTCTTTTGTTTAGAAGCGATAAATCACTGTGCCACCACTTCTCAATAAAAATGATGGTAACATCAAGCAATAAAACCAAGATAAAAAATATGTGAATTAATGAGAAGCCAGTGTATAGCTCTCGGAGAACAAAGGGATGTGAGAGCCAAAGTATGTGAATGTTGAAACAATGCAAAAGCATGCAACGAAGTCCTTAAATCTTAGCAAATTTGTGTTTTTGGAAGTGCAATAAAATTGTAGTTAAATCAAAACAAATGAGACTTACCCTATTCAGACTATTAAAGGTTATTTTACAAAAACATGCGACATGGCTAAATATGGTCATGGATGACATCAAATCATGACCATATATAGGCACATCACGACTACATATCTGTGGTGGCGCCAAGTTTTCCCCGAAGGGGTGTTTGAGGACCGCGACAAGGGGACAATGTTCCCGACAAAGAAAATGGGCGTGGCCGGGTGCCGCTAAAAATCTCTCAAAAGTGTTAAAGAAGGAAAACCCCCCGAAAAATTTGACAATTTAGGGGTTTCAAATGCTTATTTTAATTGATTTTGGAGCGTACAAATATGTGAAAATACATATCCATTTTTTTTTCCTCCCCAATGAATTGTGGTTGTTTTCCCCAATGGGGGAGAGGGGAGATCTCTCTGACCGCCCGGTCCCCACGCTGGTGCCACCCCTACTATATATGGGCATACAACATTTTTTTACAAAGAAATTTTGATAGTGCTTTAAGCATGAAAAAAAGAATTAGGATGCATCAAAGTCAAGACTTTTCATACCTTCTTTTATCAAGCCCACCAACCACCAATAAAGGTGATTTTGAATAAAAATAACAAATTTTTTTTTTTTTGGCCAATTAGGGCACCTCCGCTACGAAAAGATGAAAATTTCATTAAAAAAAAAAAAATAACTATATTTATTTTTATTTGCCCTCCGCTCTACTGAAATCTCCAAAAATAAGATATATATTTCTTCCTTAATTATATAAATTATCAATTTATCAATCTCATTACAATGTTTAAATCATTAATAACATTTTATTTTTATTTTTTCCTCCGAAAAAATGATTTTGCTAAATGAGAATAAACAAAATTTTATATATTTTTCCCCCTTTCCTCTAAAAATCTTTTTAAAAAAAAGTTTGCGAAACAATAGGTATAACAAAAGCATTTTCTATTAGGGAGAAAAATATTGTTAAATGAGTAAACATTTTAAATATAGAGGTTGACCTATTTGGCTACAGAGCAATAAAAATAGTCCCTTACTGGTCCAAGGTGGTAGTTGAATCCCCTTGCAGTGTTCTTGTCTGGACCATCATATCCATTGTCATATATACCATTATATGCCCAATCACTGAAATACAATGAGAAAAAAAAACAATTTAAAAACACACAGGTATCAAGGGTGCTAATACAATTATTGGTCTAAGTTAAACAATTCATTAGTTTTTTTGTCCCTAATAATAAGCTTAAACAAATTAAACAATTGTTTAAACACACAAATATCTAAACTAGACTTAAATCTTAAACTAACTTAATTACACTAAACAAACTCGAACAAAACAAAATACTGTAGTTTATGTAAGAAACTACCATAAAGGTGTTAACAGTTAAATGTTATTACAATGTCGCAAATATATCCTTTTTTTTAAATAAGGACAATTTCTTAACATTTTTAACATCATCGCAAAGTTTGGCACCTCTATGACAAGCTTCTCTTTTTGTAGTCAGTTTTTGGTTTTGGCAATATTAATTCTGGTTTAGTTCTTATATTATAGTAATTATTTTTTGAGACAAATCTGTTAGATAAATAATGAGGTACAAGGTTATTCATAATCTTAAACATAGTGATGGCTAAATGGCTGTCTGCTTCTTTCTTGCTATATTTTTTTGTTACCAGAAAATTCATTTTAATCTCAACATTTTGATTACAATTCTGTAATCAAACAGTTTACAAGCACATATTATCTTAAAGACGTATTTCCAGCAAGTCTATAGTAGACACCAGGAGACAATCAAATACTCTTTTCTGAATAGTGTGCTGCCCATCAATGGGGGCAGATCATCCCCCATATACTTTTAAGAAGGGGGTTGTTACCCCCCACTTTTCGATCACAATAATTTCATATTATTCAACAAAAAGCCTGAACATTGTTAAATTAAACGGCAGAAAACACCCCAGACGGAAAGCATTCTGAACTCTTGTACGTTTTTAAGGATGTTATAATGCCATGAAACAAAGCCTACATTTATTATGTTACATTTTGTTATTACTTAATAATGATATTTTTGTTAGGCCTATACACTCATTTAATCTGCATACCATATGTGGCAAAGAAAAGCTAAACAATTCACTTACTGCAAAATATTTAGTTATTAATACAGCTTTAAACAGTAAAATGAGAACTATTAAATGGTAAAAGAATCATTTAAATCTGACATTTTGTTATGAAGTTACAGGAGTTTAAACATCCAGCTATTTAAACAACAATATTTATAAAGAAATCAACCTTTAAAGTTTAGAGTGTATGATTCTGGCCATTTTTCAGGCAGAAATCATCACCAAATCATTAACAAAAAATGTTTTTTTTAACATTTAAAATGTGGAAAATAACAGCATACTTGATACATAAATATGTAAAGGTTAGTTTAGTGTAATAAAATATATTTCAACATTTTGACATTCCAGCATGTTTTGGCCATTATCTCTGAAACAGGATTTGCGACGAGTGACTGGTTTGGCTTGTCTTCCGAAAAATTCAATGGGATATTTTTAAACTGCACACGAGACTGATGCATACACTGGACCTGCGTTTTCAAGTCCTTATCTGAAAAGACTTGGTTCTACCAACTGAACCCTGGGGGAGGAGTGGATATGGAACCAGTACTGATGTTAAAGCTGAAGTTAGCGGCGCCCTAGCTGCCTTACCGCTCGGCCACTTGCTTTGCATCCAAGCAACTGATATGTAATATCGTGTCCTCATATTGGCTCTTTTTCTTCATCAGCTGCACAACTGGTCACTGAATGATCAGTCAGTTTATCTAATCTATAGCATTCCCATTACCATATTAACATGAATGAGCAAAATTAGTATTATACAAATTATTGTCAATGTTGTATCGTACTGATAATTATAATCAGGTCAGCATAACCTCCTGCATCATGGTATTTATAGTGAAGCTTGAAATTTTCAGGCTATGAGTAAGCTTTGCTAAAACTCTCCATGTGCACGAGCAAAATATGCTGTACTAAAGGCTATGAAATTCCATTTCAGAGGGTAAAAGTAATAATTAAAAACATTTAATTAGCATACAAAAAATACTTATTCACTATAATGACTTTTGTTACTTTTATCCTTTATAATATTTTATGTTAAAGGTTATCAGAGTTAATAATAGATGCTAAGTAATATGATTCCTTGAACAATCAATATTAAAAGGTTAATGTCCTGATTGTTTTACATCATGGATGAATTATTTTTAAATACCACTGGCATCAGTTTTCATCTAATAAAAATGTATATATGTTGGCCTTTGTTTAAACAAACAACATCATTATAACAGGCAAGGTAGGTCTGTTACTAGGATAGTCTATGATGCCTGTAACAGCCCTGGTAGACTGGAGGAAATGGTTTGTCTAGTAAATTTTTTAGAGAATCAGTAGATAGAATTATGACTAGAGTTCAGACCAGTAAAAATCTGTTAAAACAATGTGTTCCGTGAGCATTTGGTAAATGAATGCAAACTGTACTAAGCCTGGGGAGGTAGTGTTATTTTAGGTAATTGTAGGCCTATGTACAGAATGAACTGTCAAAGTAAACAATATTGACAACAAAAGCAGCAAAAACATCATAAGCAGAACTGTAATATCTGGAAGACCAGTTAACATTTTACTGAAGAGGTAACCAAGTATAAAGAATAAATAAATAAAATAAATAAGCACTATCAGTAGTACCAGAACCAGCAGCAACATCACCAGCATATGCAGACCCATCAGCAGCTGCTAGCACCATCAGCAGCAAAGACCACCACTGCATCAGCAGAGAGCAGCTTAGCTCAGTCGGCTAATCTGGTTGTAGTCGCTGTGTATGCGCTGAACCGTGGAGATCTCTAGGTCCCCGGTTGAATTCCCATCGCTGCCTCTCCTTGTGTTTCAGCTAGAGGGCTGAAATACAAGTTGCAATAGCGCACCGTCTTTCGGATGGGACGTTTAAGCCATTGTTCCCGTGTGCATTAAGGCCCATGTGCAAGTTAAATAACGCAGTACACTATTCGGAAAAGAGTAGGGAATTGTCTCCCGGTGTACTGCCCAATCACCACCAGAAGGACCTCACTGGAAATAAGTCTTCTTCTAGACTTTCGTGGGCTATCCTTGGTGTTTACACCGAATAAATCCAATCCAATACAATCCAACTTTTCGATGGGGGGACATCCAGCAGCCTAGCCTGAGCAAATTTTGTTTTTCCATACACATATCTTTTTTTTTAATACTTTGACAACTAAAAATAATGCAGGTCTTATGCGCCCCTATTTTCTTTTTTTTTTTGCCACTTTGTTTTCAAAGACTAGCCTAGGCCCCTAAAACAACAAGGTCGAGCACCAGTCACAGAGTACAGATAAGCACTGGTAACTACATACAGTGAAATGTCTAGGTCTTGATGTCCCCCAGTGGTAGTTGCCAGGTTTTTGGAAATTTTCATTTCAAATTCAGTGAAAATGGTGTACACTCTAACCTAGTAATTGTTATTGTCGTGATGGAATAGACAATGACAGGATTTGCATCAAGAGAAACATGTATAGGTGTAATTTTTTTCCCTACCTGACATGGAAATGTACTGAATACTCAGTATGTTTGAAAACGGGTGGGACTCGATGTATGATGCCAGGCTAGTGATCTGGAGATCATGTGTTCGAGTTCCACCCGAGAACAAATTGCGATTTTTTTTTCGCAATTGTTTTTAAACGTACTGAGTACTCAGTACATTTCCACGTCATGTAGGATATAAAAAAAAAATTACGCATATACTCTAACATAGCTACTTTGTTCAAACTAAAAATAGGTTGCTTTTTGCAAGTACTTGCACAAAAGCATCAGAAACTATCATTATTGAAATTAAAATTAAAGAAAAAATAAAATACAATTTCTTAAAAAGTACAACCTAAAATAGGAAAATAAACATTTATGTTATAATAAGTTAGATTATTTAAAATAATTTATTAGCAAAAAAGGTTAGAACCAACGGGAATATGTTATACTGGTACGTACATTCATCATTCACATTAAAAATAATATTATGTTGCAGTAAGGAAGAAAAGAAAGAGAAAAAAAAAAATGCCTGCCTGCAGTAATAAATTAGTACATGGTATTGTTGATAATAAAAAAAGAAAGTACTCAGTTTAGATCTAGATAAACTGCTTATAGTATTAATTTTATCAACCATGTAATATTGTTATATCAATGATAAACAAAATACTTTAGGTTTAACAATGGTCAATGACTTTTATAGTGCATTCGTCTCTATAGTAGATTGACTGCAGTTCTCACTTTTATTGTATACGTGTGATAATATAATTATCAATAAACAAACAAATATTAGTACTTTATAGGTTTCCAGTTTATCGATAAGTATAAGTGCTTTGGCCTAGATTCTATTCATTTTGGTTCAACTAGTTAAGAGTGAGATATGATAGAGAGGGATTTAAAGAGATAAAAATATAAGGAAGAGAGTAACTATAAAATAATTAGTTAATTAATTACAGTAATTTTCATTTCTCTATGTGGTATGATTGCAAAAAGATAGGGCAAGTGAGCGAAGAATGATGCATGTGCAGCTGGGGTAGAGGTACGATCAGGTCAAAAGAGCACCAACGGCATACAGAATTTTGACAGCGGAATG